GTGGCGGAGGCAGTACCCGTGGCGGAGGCAGTACCCGTGGCGGAGGCAGTACCCGTGGCGGAGGCAGTACCCGTGGCGGAGGCAGTACCCGTGGCAGAGGCAGTACCCTTGGCAGAGGCAGTACCCTTGGCAGAGGCAGTACCCGTGGCAGAGGTAGTACCTGTGACCGCGTTCGCCGTCGTCGCGTTGGCCCCTCCGCCCCGCACCAACTTCGAACCCGCGAAGGGACGCAGCTTCTCCGTCCCCAGTGTGATATCCTGCAGCAGTCCGTTCGCCTCGCGCACGCACCCCGCGTAGTGGTCCTTCTGCAGAGACAGCCTCTTGCAGAACCCCTCATACTTGGAACGGTCGTATTTGAAGACGCCCCGCTCGAGCAGATGTTTCTCCACAAGTGCGTTCTCCTTTATGAGATTGTTCAGGTAAACGTTGTTGTTTTGTAGGTACTCCAATATTTGGTGGTTCTTCAAAATGGCCTTCAGCGCGTTGTTCTGTTCATACAGTTTTTCAATCAGTAGAATTTTGAAGTAGTGCAGGTAGGTGGCGTAGGAGCTGCTGCTACGGCTGCTTGGTCCTATGGAGGTGGCTCCCTCCCCTGGTGTGGATGCTCCTCCGGCGCGGAGGGGATTAGAGACTCCCCCGAGTTCTCCTCCATTTGAGCCCTCCACCGATGATGGAGTGGAGAAAATGCGCCCGTTTAGGACACTCCGGTAGGAATCCTTTTCAAGGGATCTCGTCCCACCAATAACATTCCTGTCATCCAAGAAGTGAAGAACATTGCTCCGATCGTTATTTTTGGTCCTCTCGTATATATTCTGCTGGTTGGTCATTTTTGAGAACTCATTATATTTGCCCAAGAGAGTGGAGACAAACTGATTATAGAGCTTCTTCGTCAGATTGAATATATTCAAATTGGCCGTAAGGGGGGTCTTAAAGCAAAGGACGACATTTTCGATGACCCTGAGGTCGTAGAGGTTGTTACATAGGACGGAGGCAAAATCCAGGACGGTGACAAAAACGTCGGAGTAAAAGTCTAGACAGATTCTCATTTTCTCTTCAGCAATTATTTTTAAATTTTTATATCTCATTAGGATGATTCTCCTTTCTTCATTTATGCTGACCAGGTTATTTTCTTTGCCGTTATAGAGATGATCGAAGTCACTGCTTCCCTTCCTCGTGGCGTACTCCTTCGTCTGATGATTCACATTGTGGTGGAAAATCGCTTCGTCCATTTGGGAAAACTCCATGATGCGAGAGTGGTATCGATTAATTACGCTTTTCAAAATGCAGACATATTTTTTTACCAATCGAGGGTAGTTATTACAGAGGATCTTCAAAAAGGTGAGCACATCGATTATGTACTCTCCCTTTCGCTTATATATGTGGATAATATTGTTTGGCCCGTATTGGGCTGCTTGTTCTCTGGGGGAGGTACCGTCTCTTCTTCGGGGCGTGTAGAACTCGGACGCGTCCACGAGGAGGGGGGCATCATCGGTGTGGGTTACCTCCCCAGGGAGGAGATCCGATGCAACGTGATGCGATGAAGCGGGGTCCAATGTGGAGTGACCCAATGAAGCGTGGTCCATGGCCCCCACTCTGAGTAGTCCTCCACCCTGAACCGCTAAACCCTCCCCCCCCTTCTTCCTCATCCGCCTAATTTGAAAATCCCTCTTTATGTGAAAATCAATGAAGGCATTCCAAAGGTCCGTCGTCCTGGAATTCCTTATAAAGGAGTGTAAAAACAACATGTGAAAAAGGTGAAACATGAGAGTGCCGACAAGAGTTGCACTGGAGATCTTCTTAAGCACCACGTCGTAAAACACTCGGAAAAAATTCCCTTCGAAGATGGCCCAGAAAATATCCTCCTTGTTGTGTGTGAATAAGCTGACAACAAATCGTAATATTATCCCATTCGGGTCCACCTCCATGGAATGCTCTCCCCCTTCTAATCCATTAGCACCCTTCCAGAAATCGTCCCCCTGGTTATGCTGTTCCTCTGCTGATGTTTGTCTAGACCCACCAAACATCCTGTCCGCACTTTTGCTGTTCTTCCTCTTCCGCTTCTCCTCCTCACTTATCTTAGTAAAGAAGGCATAATAGTGCGACACGTTCTCTTTTATGAAGGAGGAAGTCACAGAGTAAGTGTTCTTCAAACTGCTCAGATGTTTTAGCTCCTTCTGCGAGCTCATACAGTTATACCTCCACGTGTCGGGGTAGTAAAAATTCTGAAAATTCATTTTTTCCTTCTTCCGTTCGAGTAGGAAGTTAACGTCTTCCTTTTCCTTGCTAGGGGAGGACTCCGCCACAAGGATGTTTTTCTTTTTCTCATACACATATTTTTCTACATTCGGGTGGAGACACAATATGAGCAGCAGGCTGATCTGCGTCGTTAGGGTTGGACTCGACATGTCGAAATCGTTTAAGCTGCAGTTGCAGTTGTACCAGTATCCCTGGCAGTCTAGGCATCGATTAAGGTAGTGGTTGCTCCTAAGCTTGTCGCTCTGTTGCTCATAAAGCTTATGTCTTCCGTCCCGAGACACATGTGGAGGGGAAAACACCCCCGCCGCCGGGAAGGCGCTCCCCTGGTTCTGCAGAGTGGTTTCTGGGGCGTTGCCGAGTGTACCTGCTATTGTGCTTCCTGCTGCGTTGGCAGGTGCACTCCCTGACGTGTCTTCCCCCTTGCCGCTTCCCTCCTGACCATTTATTAAGATGTTCGGGAGGTTCCCCTGTGGGGTGGTTCCCCCAGTCAGAGCGACCCCGCCAAGCGGCTTCTGTTCCGCCCCTCCGGGAATGTTTCCCAAAATGAAACCTGCCCCGCTGTTATCATTCTGAGCAGTGACACCGGTTTGTTGAGTGCCAAAGGGGACGGCCTCCACTGGACCGATCTGTCCAAAGGAATCCACAGGCATGTCGAGCCGGTAGTACTCCTCCATCTGGGAAACGAATTTATTGTTACGGACATTTCTCAGATATTTAAAAAACCTTTTCCTCTTCTTCCTCGCATGAACAAAGAGCATGCTGTCGAGCTCCTTCACGTAATGATCTGTGCTCACAAAATCGAAGTACTTTGCTGACACCACATGGTTAATGAGCTTAAATAAGCTAGTGACGTGTGTGCTGCTAGCTTGAAATTTAGAAAAATACAAAAAAAGGATATCCATCAGATTGAATAGAACGTTTATCTTATGAGCTTTGTAGCTAAAGACGTAATCCATTTTTATACATATGTCGTCATACTTGAGGATAAATTTTAGGATTTTTTCCACTTCGGAGAGTATATTCTCTACGAAGTCATTTTCTGTCAGTTGGGTCAAAATGTATAGAGAAAATCTGTCGGCGTTAATTCTGCTGCTGGGGTTGTTACTCTCCCTGAAGATTCTCCTGGGCATGCGCAGGCTGCTGATGGAGTTGTTGGACGAGGAGGTGGCTCCGCTGGACGGCCTGAAGTCATCATCCTCCGCGTCTGCCTCGTCTGCCTCGCCATCATCTGCGTCAGCATTGTCTGCCTCGCCCTGTCCGCGCCTCCTCCCCTCCATGTCAGTCAAATTTTCTTCCCTCTCCTCACTGCAGTAGTCACCTTTGGACGATCTGACGTGTCCATATCTGGTGGTCACTCCGACCTTCTCATCTCTGTTCAGGTAATTCAAAATGGAAAAAAATATCATGACGATTAAGTTTTCCTTTTCAATGCAGGCCTTAAAAACTTCACAGATGAATTCAGACTTTGTCAGTTCGCTTTTTACGCCCTCGTCTTGAATTCTTTGGTACACCTCATTGAACATAGAGCACACACACATTGCACTTCGGTTTAGCATCACGGAGCATTTTATGATATCTTCCATGTAGCTTAATAAGTAGGAGTAGTTATCCGTGATGTAATTTCTGAGGTCATTTTTGTTCACGTCTTCCTCTTCGTATTGCAAGAAATGAAAGGGGTTGGCAAACAGCTCCACGTTCTGATCAAAGAAATCGATTAGCTCTTTCTGTACTTGCTTCAACTCGGGAATGCTTTTATTTTTTTTCAATATTCTTTTGTTTTTTCTCTCCTCTTCGTTGATTGCACACTCGTAGTATATACTCATCTTTTGGTACACCTGGAGGTACACCGCGGTGGGCGACTCGCCCTTGGGGCTCCTCCCTGCCTCGGCCTTCATCCTTCGCGGGGGATATATAGCGACTCGTCGGAGGGAACACCCGTGGAAGGGCACACCCGTGGGAGGATACCCCCGTCGGAAGGAACACCCTTCGGAGTTTCCCACAGAGGCTACTCCCTTAAAACCTATCCCAACGGCGATACGCTACCGCCGCGCGGGCGTGAACAAGTGCCTTTTTTCCCCCTATCCCGTTAACCTGTCCCACGCATGATTATCCCTATGTAAGCGGGGCACTCCGCTGGCTACTCCCGGGGAAGAGTAAACGTGCAGAGTTGTACGCGTGTAGCGGAGAAGGGTGTAAGTTCCTTTTTTTTTTTCACGAAGGGGTTATCCCTTGGGGTGAAATTCCAGGGTGGGAAAATTCCCTCAGCGTGCAGGCTCCCACTGCTTCCTCCGTGCGGCTTCAGAGCTTGCACGGAAGGAGGCAGCTGAGGTGGGCACACGAACGGGGAAAAGGTGCGAACAAAGAGGGTGACACGATAATGAACAGAAGCATAAACAGAAGGATAAACACGAAGGAGAACCAACGTAAGAACAACCAAAAGAAGGCAAGAGGGAAAGAAAAATGCAACACAAATGCGAGCAAAATTTCACATGGAAAAAAAAGTAAACCATATGTATACGCAAAGTGCTTAAATTTTGCTCCTTCGTTCGTTCGTTCGTTCGTTCGTTAGTTGGTTCGTTTCTTTGTTTATATTTTCATTATATTTTTATTATATTTTTTTTGTTTTTCCCTCTGTTCTTGTGTTCTTTTCGTTTTGTTCAACACCCGTTTGGCGCCCATCGCGCGTTTTGTTCCGTCTCACTTTTTTTTTTCCAAAGTGCATACGAAAAAAGGGGGCTGATTGACCGGCGCAAACGTGGAGATCCGGTTGGTATTCTCCCCGCCGGAAAATTATCCATTTGCTTTTCCCTTCCGACATAAACGCCTTACTGCTGAGTGATCACTCCTCAGAAGGACGGAAAAAAAAATAAAGTTAAATCACCACCACTACTGTCACTTTAAGTAGCGACAAACTGGTGTGTTCTGCATGGGTCGCTAAGAACAGAGTAAAACCCGCGAGAAGCCGTAGGTTTTTTTTTTTTTTTTTTTTTGTGCATCCTGTGAGTTTACGTTAGTATGCCGATTAGGTAAAGCGGAATGTTCACGTGTTGGCTAGCTGAATACACTATTTCCCCTCCGCCTGGGGACATATAGGGGACACAATAAAACCTCCATCCATCGCCCTGCCCCTTCAACCCAGGGGCACTTAGAAAAACCCCAAAAATGACAAAAGTGAGGAACTCACCCCTTACGCGTTCCCCTCCATGGGAGTTTCATTTTCCCATTCGCGGAGATTTTTTCGAACAACCCCGTCGTTGCGCAAAAAAGTTGCTCTTGTTTATGCTTCCATTTGGGAGAATCTAAAGTTGTGTTCTTTTCCATTTTCGCACTTCTTCCATTCTGTGCATCCCTTTTAACAACGTTGATGATCATGGAGGAGGAAAAAACAACTTGCCCCAAGTCGAGCCAAACGAAAAAAAAAAAAAAAAAAAAAAACCTCTCGTTGAATAATCTTCTTAACTTCTCTAAGCCTCTATCTTCATCTTCAATAAAATAATTTTACCTCCAGTTTGTCACTTCTTAACTAAGCTTAACCAGCTCGGAAGGAATCCGCTGGGCGCATCTTCGCCAGGGATACCACAAATCGACCCCCCAGGAAATTTTTTCCTCGTGAAAAAGCGGAAATCAGAAAGCGGTGGGTTGCTTAGTACGCACATGTTTGTACGCGTGAAGGTTGGGAGCCTTGGACGTAGCAACCGCGGCGATCACTTGGAAACGTCGTTTCGATGAAGCTTTGGGGGAAGGCCTCCTTTTCCCCCTCACGCGCCAACTCCGTAGCTGTCCAGAACATTAAAGATGCTCTCCTAAATGGGGAAAAGAAAAAAAAAAATTCATAAATAAATAAAAAAAAAAATAATATAAGTGACTTCTAAAACAGTCATCAGCGCAACTGGGCCACATATGTAGTACCCCGAGGGGTGAGATAACCCCCCCCCTCCCCGCTGAGATGATAACTTTTTCGTATGCGTAACGGGGGGAGCCCCAGCTGCACTTGCCATTCCTACCGTCGAACTCGACGTGTCCACTTGGAAAACACGCGACAGGAACAAAAAGGTGAAGGGGAAAATTATCTTAAAAAGTGACTCCATGATTAGGTGAAACGTGGAATACTTAAAGTACATATTTTGATTCCCCAAATAAATCATCACCAAATTTTTTATTACTCTTTTGAAGGATTCTTCGAATAATAAAATGACGACGTAGGTTATCGATTTGTCTACGTAGTGTTTTATGCTTTTTAGGATGAACAGGAGGTTGAGGAAGTAGGAGTTTAGGAATGCGTGCTTCAGGGTGTGTTGCGCGCGCTGCAGGGGGGTTTCCCGGGTGTCGCCGGGTCGCTCGTTCTGTTCGTCGTTTCTCCCGTTGTTCTGTCCGTCGTTCCCTCCCGGGTGTTGTTTCCCCTTTCGACTGCGCAGGTGCTCGCGCAGGACCAATAGGATGTTCTTCCCCGGCTGAGCAAACTCCTGCTCCTCACTCTCATCAAAAAATAAAACGCTCTCATAAAAGTGAAAATTGGTTCTCTCCAAAAAATGGTAAACGAACAGGATAAAAATTTTATTTAAAATGTTATCAAGAAGGACAGGCGCGTTTAACCCCGTTATGAAAGTTGCCTTCCCGTTCTTCACTAAGCCAGTTTGTTCACAAATATTTCGACACTGGAACAAATCTTGCACTGAGTCTTTTATACTTGCCCTTTGAACCAACGCCTGTATTGATATGTAGTGAGTAAAAATGTTGTGCTTCATTTTTGTTGTCTTTTCATTTTGTTTTTTTCGTTTCCATCTTGTGTTTCCCTCTTCGTACAAGGAATTCACCCAAGAGGAATGATTTTTGCATGACGTATTTGCATTCTCGTGTCGCTTCTCCTTCTCACTGATTTTTCCTTTCCTGTGGGGAGCTGTCGTTTGATTTTTCCCCCAGTGGGGCAGTTTTTCCTCCTCAGATGGAATCTTTTCCCCTCCTTCCTCCTCATCTTTCCTCCCTCGGGGATGGAAACAAACTTCCTTTTCACATTTGAAGAAAACGCAGTAATACATGTAGTTGAAGAGGGCGCTATTTACATTTACAAAGGGGTACCTTTGATTGGAAAAAGGGAGTAGGGGGGGTTGTCCCCCTTCTTTGCCGTCGCTCTGTCTGGATGAGGCGTTCGCCTCTTTCGTACAGTTTGCCAATTCGCCTGCTATGTATTCGCGGTTGAGTTTCTTCAGCAAATGCTGGCTGTATGTATTCGTGTGGTGTGTGCTCCCCTCAGGCGTCTTTACGTCGCGCTTCCCCACTTGGCGCTTCTCCTCATCGAGCATGTTGGCGTCTCCCCCCGGTGGGGAACTATTCCGCTGCGTTATCTTTATATTCACCAGAGAAAGCGCGAAATAGTAAAGAAACACGACATGCCTAAAGAGATTCGCGTCCACGGAATGGAACAGCCTCTCGTAGCTGCTCTTGAAGTTTGCAATTTCATGCAAAAATATTTGGACAATTTCATATGCACTCAGCGAGTTGTTTGTTTTTCGCCTGCTTATTCTTTTCTCCAGTTGCTCCCTCACCGAGTGTAGTATGCGAAAGTGCTTGAGCGTTAAGAATGTGTGCCGCGTGTATTCCTCGTTTGTCATTCTCCCGTCTTTGCAATTTGAAAAACTGCCTGAACGGGTGAGGTTGTTTTGCCTCTTTTCACCTGACCCGTTCAGGAAACTTTCATCATTGTTCATTTCGCTCGGAAACTTCTCATTCGTTGTTACTCGCTCTGGAGGTAACAAGAAATAATCTCGTATGTTTGCCAAATATTGAAGGTATACTTTCAAGGTGTCCACATCTTCACATTTCACGATGAACTGGAAGATAAGTTCCCTCGTTTTCTTTATTTCTTTGTTGAGTTTTTTTTTATAACTCCGTAGGTAGTTCGCTAAATTACGATCATTCGATTCGCAGCTGCACAATGCACACAGATATAATTTTACCCTTCCACACAGGGGTACATACTTCATGCTGTCGTGCACGTCTCCCTTCTCGTTACTCCGGTGAATGATTAAAGGAATTTTCAGCATGTCTGCCAGAAGGCCACTCCTTGTGCTGTCATGTACAGTGTTCGAAAGGTTCATCCCTTCCATGCTGCTCTTATGATGACGCGCCTCGAACAAGTCTGCTATTTTCTCGCAATTACTTCTTAAGTCATCGACAACAATTTGGATATCCTCGACATTTTGTTGGAACTCTTTCGATAGGATGGACGACTTGATAAAGATGTCGGGATGTTTTGAAATTAATTTTTTCATATTTTTTACGTTTTCGTTTTTTTCCCTTGTCAAGTTCATTTTTTTGCTAACTATAAAATTGGTTATGTCTTCCTCATCATTTTGGACTACGTTTTTGACCTCGTCTGTTACGTCGCTTTTGGTCTGGCTTCTAGCCTCCCTTCTGACCTCCCTTTTGTGCATTCGGTCCTGCAGTGTGCAGTGCAGTGTGACCGCGTCTTCCGTAGGGGGGTTGTCCATTTTGGCTGCACAGCATGGATGTAGAATGAAATGCCGGGGGGAGGTGGTAAAAGCGCTAACTTGGGAACACTCCCCCTGGACGCGCTATCCAGGGGAAAGAAGGGTGGCCAAACTAATGGCCATATACAAAAAAAATACAGCTGCGCAGGTCCCTATCTAAACGTACGTGTTGCGGAGGTGGGTCAAGCCATGCGAGGCCCCCTTTTACATGTGCCACCACAGGGAGAGACCCACCATGGAAAGCAGCGCCATCCAACTTAGGCAATACATCAAATCGGCAAAGGTCTCCAGTGATTTGTTCAAAAAATGGCTTTGAGGATAAAAAAAAAAGAGAGAAAAAAAACGCCATACAGTGTATATTATCCTTTTAAAGGGGGTCGACTAGTTCGTTGTTCGATCATCCCACACGGCGACCGTTCGGTCACTCCTTAGGCAACTCAGTTGGAACACCACTCACCCAACAGTTCTCATCAGCCCATGCTCTTCATCAGACGGTCCAATAACTTAAAAACCCAAGTTGGTGACAGGGGGTCAGGCCCTTAGAAAGCAACTCTTTTTTTTTT